GGGGGAGGCAGAGAGAGGGAGAGAGGGTGTGAGACACTCACCCTTTGCCTTTCAATTTGAGGCGGAATGGTCAAGGGGATGAGCGGCGCCACCCCGCTCCGCCGCCCAGCCAAGCAAATAGCAGGGAGTGAAAAGATCGAAAAGGGCGGGACGGGGCGGCGAGGCATGACTGGAGGCCCACGAAAAAAAAACCGAGGAGGAGGAGAAGAAAGTAAGGGGCGCGCCGTAAGGGGGATCGGCGAGCGTCAACGGGAGCGTCAAAGTGAGGGTCTGCGGGGGTCTGCGGGGCTGGCTCACGGCGGGGCGGAGCGAGACGGCCGAGGGAGTGTTGTACATACGGGGGCGGCTGTTCCATATTTGAATCTCTCGCGAGGACAAAAGTAGGCGCGGCCTCAGGACCTCGTGCACAGCAACACCGCCCTCGCCGAGAAGTCTCTTAATGAATTTCTCATAAAGTTGCGTGACAGGGCGAAGAAGTTACAGAGCAACACAAACACGAGTACACACACACACACACACACACACACACACACACACACACACACACACACACAGGGGCACACAACGCAAGCACATATATACATACATACAGGGCCACAGAATGCGCGGAATTGCCTCCCCCGTGCCTCGCGCTCGCGCTCCCTTTTTCCCTGTTAAGAAAGCTGTAGCCTTGTCGCGTGTATTGAGAGAGAGAGAGAGAGAGAGAGAGAGAGAGAGAGAGAGAGAGAGACAGACAGACAGACAGACAGACAGACAGGCCAATTTTTAACAGCACGAATGAATTCTAAGTTCTAAATTAGTGACATCACTAAATTTGTAGCTACAAATCTATAAGTAGTTATTTCGAATGTAACGTTTTGTTTAGCTACACAGCGAATCTTTCTTTTCGTGAAAGAGAGCAGTAGAACCAACACCACCACACCACCACCACCACCACCACCACCAACAACAACAACAACAACAACAACAACAACAACAAGCACAGCCACCACAACCGCCAGCACAGCCGCCACAGTGTGATGGCAAACTCAGCTCCGCCAGGACGTCTCGCGCTGCGCGCCCCGCTGACCCGAGGTAAATAATAAATCTCTTTAGCAAAGTCAAACCGTCTCGACGCGAGAAGCAGTACCCCCGCGTCACCGCACCGCCGCCGGAGGGACGGGGGGTCTCGGGCGCGTCTGACTGTACTGTACTGCACGGTGCTGCTGCGGCTGGGCATGACCCATTCATGGCCTTCCCCCACCCCACCCCGCTCACCACGCCCCGCCACGCCCAGCGGGTCAGGCAGCCCCTGGGGGGTAGCCCGGCCAGGGGAAGGACGTCCGGGGTGGCAGTGAGAGTGTTTATCCAGGACGATGGCAACCCCCCGGACCCGCGGGACTCGAGCCCACGACGACGAGATCTCCTTGAACAAAACGACACGGCCACACGATACAGATTTTTTTTCTCTCTTCTTTTCTCCTCTCTCTCTCTCTTTCTTGGGTTCCCTTCGGTGGTTTAGCCTTGAATCCTCTAACAGAACGGAGCAGGCAGAGATCCCTGCTGCTGCTGCTGCTGCCTGCAGCCGGCCCTGCATACTGAGGGGCCCGCAGGGGGTTGAAGGGGGAGGGGGGGGGCACCGCGGCCACCGCAGCAGGTGCAGATCCGGGTCTGATTACTGCCTTGATCCGGCTGGGGAGAGAGGGAAGGGGGGCGACCAGTCGGGAAGGGGAAGGCGGATGCGGTGCTACCCGCAGGTGGAAGGGGGAGGGGAGTGCCGGCACCTCGTTGTGGCCCAAGGCACAGAGTGGAGCGAGGCGGGGCCGGGCAAGGGGGTCCCAATTACCTTTGTAGCATCCATACATGTGGTACCCCCAGCCCCACACACTCTCACGCACACGCACACACACAGACACGCACGCGCACGCGCACGCACACGCACACGCACACGCACACGCACACGCACACACACACACACAAGCAAGCAAGCACAGGTACATACGTGTGCCCGCGCGCACACGGCCGCAGGCGCAATGAAGACGAATGGTATGCTATGCAAAGTGTGGATGTGGCTGGGGAGGAAGCCTGAGTAGTCGACTTGCTACTTGCTAGATTCAACTGGTCTGTGTAAGCCGGAACCTTTTCCTGAAGAAGTTCACAAGCTTTTTGCTGTCGAAATACAAACACGTTTACAACAATTTTGCTGTTCCGGAGAGGGGAGAGGTGTGTGGAGCAGGGGTCCCGGCTCACTGTAGCGCGCGAGCCACAGAGCGCTTTCGCACGCCATCTATCAGTTACTCGGAAGCGTCCGCGTAGGTGTGATCCCTTGCCTCGAGCTGGACAGGCTGGACAGCACAGCCAGCCGTAGACGAACGGGGAGCGCACGCCGGGCCGGGCGGGTCGAGAGAGTGTAGGACCCCCACCCGCACCTCCTATATATATTATTAGTATGAGATCAACTGACGATACTTTTAAGGAAAGGCGGAGACCTTTGACCGCCGAGCCTATTGGCGGGATGCCACCTCGAGGCAGCCGCCGACTGAGAGTAAAAGTGGAGCTCAGTCGTAGCCGGGAGTCCGAGTCGAGAGTCAGTCAGGAGAAGTCGTAGTGGAGAGGAGCAGAGCTAGCGTCAAGATGTAGACGCAGTAGTGTATAGTGTACATTGTAACATCCGAAGAGACACCGATAATACACACCTTGATCAATGTGCTTTGTGTACGTCAATCAATGAGGGAGCATACGAACCCCAGACCAATCACACCCTTCCAACAACCACAGTGGTTGGCAGCGGTGCTCTCATTGATATGACCTCCACGAAGCATAGAGCACAGGTTTGTCTAATAGGTAAGTACAGTGATCTTTTCCATCAGTATCATTTGAACTTACTTGTCGGCACCCGCGCGTGCCTGGTGCTTCCCCGTGCGCGCGTGACCTAGTCATGCCGCAGCCCTGTTCAGCCCCGCGTGCCCTTCCCGCACGCATGTGTCTTTGCTAGTGAAAGTGCGCACGTAAATACAACCTTTACGCCATGCTCAAAATGGATATGCGAATCGCACGTCAATCCACTGTTTGTCACAATAATTTTTAATCATGACCTCTAAATTTTCTTACGGTATTGCATCTCCATACAGTTCTAGTTCTAAAGCTTTAATTTCAATGAGTTTGTGCACCACGCGCATTAACAAAGTGCAATCTTTCCATAATGTGCAATATCCTAGCTAGAAAAGTTCGATAAAAATAAAATAGAGCGGAACGCGCCGCGCCGCACCGCGCGGGGCAGGCGTCCGCACGGCTGTCTATTCTTAGCCCTAGCCGAAATCGAGCTACGCACCTTATTTTTTCTGTCGCCCAGCGATTCCCCCTGCGTCGGAAATAATCTGACCCATTTTGCCGCGTGACATTCAAACGCTGAACTTGAAACTTAAATCGACTATTCTACTTTTGAAATTTTTCAGTGTTCCAGGAAAATCGCCATCGTACTACTTTTCTGCTATTATGTAACCAGTACTTAATTTAACATCTTTTAATTTTACAGTGAGCCACTTAATTGGTTCTGAAGTACAATTAAACATGTCGGCATCAGCGCCATCTTTATTATCTTTAGTTGATAACTTCTCTGGAGAGGACGAATGTTACGCGCTAGAAGATTTCCTAATGTGCATAGAAGCCGCAGCTTCATTCAAACCTGATATTACTGATGCGCAACTGCGAGCCATAATAATACTAAAATTACGTGGCACCGCTAGAGAAGTACTATGTGCTCAACCAGAGCTAACGGAAGGAACATCTGAGGCTCTTATCAAAGCGCTTCGCGATAGATTTGAACCTCTAATTGACCGATACTCGGCACAGCAAAAATTTTCGTCATGCATTCAACTTCCAGGCGAATCAGTAATCGAATATTATTTTAGGTTACTTTTAGCAGCGGAGAATTATGCCGCTACCCGTCCCGCTCCAACAGAGGACTTGAAGGAAGCCATCAAGGCGCTGACAAAGATTGAACTTCTAGATCAATTTATGCACGGAATAAATTGTAAATTGCGTCAGTTTGTGCGTTTTCAGACCCCCGCTGATATCGAGACAGCTCTGAGCTTCGCCCGGAAAGAGGAACTCTACGTTTCTCTTGAGAAATCGAAAACACCAGCTTCGATAAATTCAGTAACGGCGCAAACAGATAATTCCTCTAGTTTTCAGCAGCAGACGCCTTGTCACGGCCATCAAGCGTTATGCAGAGCAGACGCTCAGCCTATGTCCAGCGCCCACTCTGATTCTAAGACTTGTCCTCATAAACTTGCAGTCGTTGCACCTAATTTAGCAGATGTCAAAGGGCAAGCCTTTTACGTCAAAATCTTTGATCAAAATGACTACCTAACCTTTTTGATTGACAGCGCATCAAAAGTCTGTGTCATTAAGCGATCCTGTGTAAATCATTTAACACCTCTTGCAGATGAAAAAGTCTACAGTATTGGTGTAAACCAAATACCAGTCATCGGTTACTCCAAGGTGACATGTGGTAAGGGACGCCACATTGTTACTTACAACTTTCTCGTCGCCGACGACAGGCTTCGATTATGTTGTGATGGTGTGATCGGATCTGATTGGTTGACTAAACATAGCTGCATAGTCGACTTGAAAAAGAAGCGACTTATAGTGCCGAATAAGTTTACGGCAGCTCTACTTCCTGTTGCCATGAAAACGCCAATTTACCAGCTTGGAAAACTTACATGGAACAGTCAGATATGTAATTGGGATTATGGAGCGAACTTGCGCTCTCCCGTAAGTACGCACTATTGTATGGGAATATGACTCTCCCAATCTCTTTTTAATAGCTCGTCAAGCGTTTTAAACGCGTGTAGCTAGACCCTGATGTAACTGCGGCTGAATCGTCGCCTGCTCAGGCAAAAGGTAATGAAATGTAAATAATGTATGGAAACGAAAATGATATCGTTTGTCCAAACTCAAACGCACATAGAACCGCGTAGCCAGACCCTGACGAACCTGCGGCCGAATCGTCGCCTTCTCAGGTGAAAAGGTAATAAAAACAGCAGTCATTCTATTTTAAATGAATGAAAACGACAACGATATAATTTGTCATGTACGAGCGTACATAGAAGCGTGTAGCCAGACCCTGTAGAATCTGCGATGGTCGCCTTCTCAGGTAAAAAGGTAATAATATTAGTACTTCTATGATGAATGAGTCAAAACGCAAATATAAGCGTAATGTGCGGTAATAACTTCTTGAACAATATAAGAAACTTACCGAATTTCCAGTCGAACGGAAAATGCTTTGAACAGCTAGTAAATTTACACCAAGCATAATTATCAATATCCTATTTATAAGAAAATCTTTTCTAGTATTACTTTCCTTAAAGAGCGTGAGGACCAATAGTTCATCGAAAACGCATCATAGGAAAATTAATTGTAAATTCTTCAATGATTTAGCAACAATTTGAAAACGTTGCCATTCTCTGATTAAACTTGATCTACAATATTTAACTGTTGGTATTTAATTCATAATGCAGTGTGATAAGTCTCCCACAAATCATTTCCATGATGAATTGTACCTGGACGAGACAACCACTGCTGAAACCCATCCCTGCTCGCGCCTATCCGCTTTTCAGCAGATATAAGAACACTATATGTGATCAATTTTAAGGCATTTATGTGGTTGTGCAGATTTCATTTGTTGCGTTTTACCATCATCATGCAACTGTTATCACTAATTCAATACCAGATATGCATAACTCCAACCACAAGCTGCAAGCCACTAACAACGTGCTTATGCAAATTCTTCAAATGTCAGCAAGAAGCTCTTTGCACTCGCCAAAATGTTGTGGAATTTATTACTAAAATGCAATAAACATTTTAACAAACGTCATATCCACAACAAGGCACAGCAACTATTTGCATGAAAGTAACACCGTTACAGATCACTTCAATGAATTGAGCGAGAGAAAATGCTCAACCTAACACTAACAAAAATGAAAAAAAAGGGAAGGTGTTTTAATATTTTTCTCTCTCAATTTAGCGGAAGAGCAGACGGTCGAATGTTATATTCGAAAAAACGGTCAAATGTTATATTCATATCGAAATGTTTTATCGTAAACGAACCGTTTACTATTCTTGATATACCTAGCAGCTATTATTGTATTCAAATCTGCAAACAATTACTAGATCAGATTATATCAA